TGAAAACAGAGGGATCACTATAAGTCCAAGCTGCATAATGAGACTCTGTATCAAACACATTAGAAAAGAAAAACTAAGGTAAAGGAGTTGTGGTACCACAGCCTATTTTAACTTTTATTTATTTTTGTTTGTTTGTTTGAGACAGTCTCATTTCCAGTTCAGACTGGCCTTGAGATCACTTTATAGCTCAAGCTGGTCTCAAATTTGAAATAATCCTCCTGTTTCAGCCTCTCAAGTGCTGGGATTACAGGTATGTTTTATTTTTTAATTTTGTTTTTGGAAACGGAGATTGAACTCAGACCCTTGCACTTGCCAGGGAAGCACTTATTCCACTGAGCCATCTCCCCGGCCCTATAGGTATGTTTTAAAACTTTTAGGATCTTAAAATGTGTGGCCTCATGAGGACATCTGACCTGTCCCAGATTGTTAGGGACTTGGATTTCAGCAACAGGGCTGACATTTGCAATCCCTCCATGGACTCCCTTGCTTGTCAGGCTTCTAACTCCAATTGCAAGGGAGAAAGAGAAGATGGTTCTACTTCCCAAGAGGTGGAAATTTCAATCTGTGAAATTTCAGAGAAACACAGCAAAGTTTCTCTGAGTTGAAGCAGTGGCAGCTGCTGCTTGTGTGACACAGTTAAATATTATCAGTTTTACCCTGGGCAGCTGTGAAACTCAAGGCAGAATACTCCTCTAGTGGGGAAAGTTCTTTTCTGCCCCTCACTGTTCCTTCTTATATGATTGAGCCAAGGGAGAGGGTTCAAGCTCTGTCGGTGGGGCTGTTGCCTTACTATTCCCTTTCTGCTCAGGTCTTGGTTTTTAGATAGTGCTCCTAGTGGAATCCTCTGTGGTCATCTCGACAGGCCCACATCTACTGAGTCATTCCCTGATCCAGGTCCACCAAAAAAAAGCAAGTAGGGGGGGCTGGGGATATAGCTCGGTGGCATAAGCACCTGCCTGGCAAGTGCAACGTCCTGAGTTCGATCCCTGGTACTGAAAAAAAAAAAAAAAAAA